TCCTAGTAAAAGGCCAAAATGTTAAATTAAAACTTTGAAAACACAAGACTGATCTCATTCCTTTTCAATGACCTCAAAGTTTTGTTACAAAATACAACTGTGAAAACTTTGTATCCACCCATATAATATTTCTAAACACTTTCACACTTTTCAAAGAGCCTTTTATACACCTGATCATCATTACAACTCAAAGAGGTAAGCAAGGCAAATGGTCCCCAGTTTGTAGTAAGTAAAAACAGGCTTCTGGCTGGCCAGGCCTGATGGTTCACGCCTGTAATACCACCACTTTGGGAGGCAGAGGCAGGCAGATCACCTGAGGTCAGGAGTTCAAGACCAGCGTGGCCAACATGGCAAAATCCTGGCTCGCTGCCACTGAACTCAAGCTAAGGTAAGTGAACGAGAGTCTGTCCGGAAAAATAAACAGAAACTAAGACTTGTTCCCAAGGCTAAAAACTGGTAAATCGAGTATCTGACTTGGGTGATTTAAATCTTTATCATGTGGCAGGGCATGGTGGCTCATGCCTGTAATCCCAGCACTTTGAGAGGCCAAGGTGGGTAGATCAGAAGGTCAGGAGATCCGCTAACACAGTGAGACCCTGTCTCTACTATAGAAAAGATTAGCCGGGCATGGCGGCATGTGCCCGTAGTCCCAGCTACTTGAGAGGCTGAGGCAGGAGAATCACTTGAACTTCGGAGGCAGAGGTTGCAGTAAGCCAAGATCGCGTCACTGCACTCCAACCTGGGTGACAGAGTGAGACTCTGTCTCAAAAAAAAAATCTTTATCATGTTTTTGGAGCAGACATAATATTGTAGAAACAGAGTAGATACTCAGAATTTCAGGTTATACCAATTCAAGTGCATATACTTTATACACATAACATGATTAATGTTTCAATGGTCATATACCTAATTTACAAGAAATATCATTGTTTCCTTACTTATGGGGAAAAATAAATAAATATCAGGTATTTGCAGTTATGGCAATAGAGAATAAGCCCAAATACTAGTAACCTGCACAGAGAAACCAGTGATTGCTATTATCCATGTCTAAGACAAAAATTAAAGGCAATCAAGGGAGTGACTCCTTCCTAGTTACATATGTCTCTTATTGTCCAGAGACATAGTATCTTGAATTACAAAGTGTTTTATCTTCTCTATCACTCTGGATTCAACTGTAGTATTGAGTGTACACATTCAACAAAAGTGTATGAAGCACTGACATGGGGACTTACTACAGTTGTTGTGAAGTGGAAATGTTGCCCAGAATTTTGTCAGCACGTAGTCAGCAACCATCCCTATTTTAAAACTGCCCCTATTTTTGTTAGTAACCGCCTCTTTCTGCTTCTGTACATCAGCTTATTGCTTACTAACTGGAAAACCTTTAGGAGAAACTGCCTCGTTGTCTAAAACCTGCTGCGTTGTCTGAAGTCCTAAATTAATTCCTGAAGTCCTAAGTTACTTCCCCTTCCCCTTACCTATAAAAACTGTGTACTATTCTAAGCCGAGGTCCAGACTTTTGGGTGCAACCCTTCCGGGCCCGCCAGCGTAATAAAGTGTGTTCCTCCAATCCCGAGTGTCACTTGGGTTTCTTGTTAGGTAAGATTTTCCAGAACAGTTGTAGGACCATTATATAGGTGAAACAGATTTTTAGTCTGTAGATATTTAACAAGATTTTCATTAAAAGTTCCATTACCTTGGCCAGGTGCAGTGGCTCATGCCTGTAATCCCAGAACTTTGGGAGGCTGAAGTGGGCAGATCACGAAGTCAAGAGATTGAGACCATCCTGGCCAACATGGAAAAACCCCGTCTCTACTAAAATACAAAAATTAGCTAGGCGTGGTGGCGCGCACCTGTAATCTCAGCTACTTGGCAGGAGAATCACTTGAACCCGGGAGGCAGAGGTTGCAGTGAGCCAAGATTGTGCCACTAGACTCCAGCCTGATGACAGAGTAAGACTCTGTCTCAAAAAAAAAAAAAGAATCCATTACATCTTTAAATATATGAATACTGATGCCACATTTACAAATAATGAATGGAAATTTTTATATAAGAGGTAATATTGAAATGACTCAATATATAGGAAGAAAGTAGTTTAAAAGTATCTTGAACAGTAAACAAAAATTTGAGATCTAGCTTATCCTGGCTTTGATACTTGCTGTGATGATCTAGCACAGTCTTTAACGCCTATGGAGCGCTGGGTTTTTTCACCTGTAGAGTGTTGCAAAATTTCAAAGATTGACACGTATTCCTTCTAAAACAAAATTTTGATAATTCACAATGACAGTTTAGATAGCTTTTTAGAGTATCTGGTTTTGTTTTGTTTTGGAGTTTTTAGTAAGCGTACTTTCTGTAAATCAGTCAACACAACAAACAAAAAAGTAATGTGTACTGCCCATCCCCAGAATAGGACTTTACTTCTGGCTGAGTGCAACGCCTGTAATCCCAGCACTTTGAGAGGCCAAGCCAGGTGGATCACCTGAAGTCAAAAGTTTGAGACCAGCCTGGCCAACATAGCGAAACCCCGTCTCTACTAAAAATACAAAAATTAGCTGGGCGTGGTGGTGGGCACCTGTAATCCCAGCTACTCAGGAGGCTGAGGCAGGAAAATCACTTCAACCTGGGAAACAGAGGCTGTAGTGAGTCAAGATTGTGCCATTGCGCTCCAGTGTGGGTGACAAGAGCAAAATTCTGCCTCAAAAAAGAAGAAAAAAAAGAAGAAGAAATGAAGAAGAAGAAGAAGGAAGAAGAAGAAAGAGGAGGAGAAGGAGAAGAGGAAGAAGAAGAGGAGGAAGAAGAAGGAGGAGAGAAGAGGAAGAAGAAGAAGGAGGAGGAGAAGAAGAAGAAGAAGAAGAAAGAAAGAAAATAAGATGAGCCGGGCACGGTGGCTCACACCTGTAATCCCAGCACTTTGGGAGGCTGAGGCAGGCGAATCACCTGAGGTCAGGAGTCCAAGACCAGCCTGACCAATATGGTGAAACCCCATCTTAAAAAATAATAATAATAAATGAAAAAAAAATAATAAGAAAAGAAGATGATGAAGAAGAGGAATTAAAAAAAGAAAAGAAACAAAAATTAAAAAAGAAAAAGAAGAAGATAGGCCGGGCATGGTAGTTCACACCTGTAATCCAAGCACTTTGGAGGCCAAGGCGGGTGGATCACCTGAGGCCAGGAGTTCAAGACCAGCCTGACCAACATGGTGAAACCCCGTATTTAAAAAAAAAAAAAAGAAGAAGAAGAAGAAAAGCAGATTGTTTCTGTGACAACAACTTGAATACTAAAAGTTGGCCCCTGGTGCCAATGGTTGAAGGCACCTTAGTAGTTAAACTTCATCCTACTGTTTAACCAGGTGGCTTATTAAAACAGATAACCCAAATAAGCAATAACATGGCATTTGGCTGGCCACCCTTTAAAACCTCTAATGCTTTTCATGAGTGGGAAGACTAGAATAGTATTGAAGTCACTCATTAGAACTATGTTTAACTGATAAAATTCAGAAGAATTATAATGTATTTCTGTATCTATATTTCAAAACCTTATTCCTTGGCTGATACTTGTTAGTAAAGTGGTTATGGTACTAAATCAAGTTTTGGACTGTAAACTCTTAGAAATTATCATTTCAAGTATGTATTAAATTTCAAGCAGCTTTTAAACTGGTTTAACATTCATCTTTAAAGAACAGTTAAAATTGATTGAAAATAATCCAATTTCACCAAACTTTATACATCATACTTGAAATGCAATGAAGACACATTATTATTATTATTATTTTTTTTTTTTTTTTTTAAGACGGAGTTTCGCTCTTGTTACCCAGGCTGGAGTGCAATGGCGCGATCTCGGCTCACCGCAACCTCCGCCTCCTGGGTTCAGGCAATTCTCCTGCCTCAGCCTCCTGAGTAGCTGGGACTACAGGCACGTGCCACCATGCCCAGCTAATTTTTTTGTAGTTTTAGTAGAGACGGGGTTTCACCATGTTGACCAGGATGGTCTTGATCTCTTGACCTCGTGATCCACCCGCCTCGGCCTCCCAAAGTGCTGGGATTACAGGCTTGAGCCACCGCGCCCGGCCTTAAGACACATTATTAACACAATAATGAAGAAGCAAAGATTTGACCTGTTATTTGGGAAATTAGAGAGTGAGCAACCTAGGCTCCTTTTAGCAAAAACACTTTTCCAAAAGAAACTTATTTTTTGTTTTATTTAAACAATACTGTCCTGTCCTAAACGAAATCATTTTTAGTCTTTTGAAAATCCACCTGTCCTTCCGTGTGTGTGTTTTGTTTTGTTTTTCTTTTTCTTTTTGTTTTTTTTGCAGTGCTCAAAGGACAGAAAAAAGGTGTAAGGTTTGCAGCTCTGGGGACCTGGACACTCTAGTTCCTGTCTCAGTTCAGCCCAAGCTCTCATTGTGACCTTGGGAAACGTCCCTGGCTCGGGGGACTCGTTTTCCCTCTCTTCTCAATTTTGAGTGCTCAGAGCGGGGGTGGGCGGGCCCCCAGGCACCGCAGACACAGGGGCTACAGCTCGTCCAGCTTCACGAAAATCCGCAGCCCTGCTCCCCGCCTCGGCTCTTCCCATCCACTCAGCCACCGGCTCGCTCGGAGCAGTGAGTTCCCGGTGCCCCCCGCCGAGTACCTTCGGTTCTGCACCGCTCTCCCCCTTTGTGTCTTGGTGCTAGGAAGGGACCTTGCGATCATCCTTCCATCCGCCGAGAAACGCTCCGCCTACCCTTCATTCTCGATCGGGTCTTTCCCATTTCAGAGGACCCCTCACACTGCTGCCCCCGAGAGACCCCCGCTGTGGCTCAGACTGGGGAATCTCTCTCCTTCCTTCCCCTCAAGAGACCTCCCCTTCACAGAGCCTTCGCCTCCGGAGGAGCCCTCAATTCGCGCAACCCCATTCTTCCTCAAACTCTCAGGGATTGCCACCCGGTTGCCTTCTGCGGAGCCGCAAAGGACCCTCAGCCTCCCCCACCTCCGCCATCGGGTTCTGGGGACCCCTCTCACCTCCGCGGTGAGAGATGTGTTTACCGAGGAATCGCTGCTTCTTTCTCTGGTGCAGCAAGGTCGGGTATTTAAGCAACAAGAATGAGGTCACCAAGTACCCTCCTAGCGTAGAGAGAAGATAAAAAGCCGCAGTGGACGACATCTCAGTCACCGTGTGGGAAGTCTCCCACGTCCGGGCCCGCTGAACTCCGCTGCGGCAGTAGCAACGACGGCGGCGGCGGCCGCGACTGCTTGAGGTCGGCTCGCCCCCAGCCGGTGCCAATGGTGCAGCGCACTTGTCTGTGCCGGCCTACTGCGCATGCGCAACCGGACCTCCGCTCCCCAGCAACAAAGGGGCTCCGACGCGCAGGCGCGCCTGGGTTCCTGAGTAGGAGCCTGCAGAGATCCTCAAGTGAGCGTTTGTCATCTACCTCTGTGGACGGATCCGCATGAAGACAAAGCTTGCAAACCTGCCCGTGTCTTGGCCATCCCTCAAGCAAAAAAGACTATTCACGGATAGCCTTCAGGGAAGTCTGACCTCATTGGAAAATCCACATCAAAAAGGAATGATTCCAGGGCGCGTCTTAGCTCCTACTCTAGGAAATGCAAATAATTGTTACCTATGGAGGCAATAAAGCTTGCCAAAACACTAAATAAACTCCTCCGTTTATCTAGCCTAGAGAGAATTTCCCCTATGGCCACATATGCTAGAAAAGGTACTGATTTACCAGTTAAATATCTGAGATCAGCCCTTCGCCTCCCTCATTTCATTGTGAAAGTGCAATCCTGATTCTTTGTACACAATAGGCACTGCAGAAGTATTTGTTGACTTTCCAGTCCGTATAAAATAAGGAAACTGCCAAGTCTAAAATATTACCTAAAACTCCTAGAAAGACAGATAACTAAGTACCAGAAGACTCTACTAGTTTCCTTTCACCCCACAAATTACAAACTGCTGGCCGGGCGCCGGTGGCTCATGCCTTTAATCTCAGCACTTTGAGAGGCCGAGGCAGGTGGATCACGATGTCAGAAGTTCAAGACCAGACTGGCCAAGATGGTGAAACCCCGTCTCTACTAAAAAATACAAAAATTAGCTGGGCAGGGTGGCAGGCGCCTGTAATCCCAGCTACTCGGGAGGCTGAGGCAGGAGAATCGCTTGGTGTGGGCGGATGTTGCGGTGAGCTGAGATGGCGCCATTGTACTCCACAGCCTGGGCGACGGTGAGGCTCCATCTCAAAATAAATAAATAAAAACAAACTTCTAACATACGAAGAGCCACACTTTAATGCAAAAGAAATCACCCAAGACAGAGGGAGAAATTTTACGGAGAAAACCACGTCTCCCACAGGACTAGAAAAGCAGAGTGAGTATTTAAAATCCTGTGATTCAGCCAGGCGCGGTGGCTCACGCCTGTAATCCCAGGACTTTGGGAGACCGGAAAGGGTGGATCGCTTGAGCCCAGCAGTTGGAGGCCAACCTGGGCAACATGGCGAAACCCCACCTCTACAAAAAATACAACAAAATTAGCCCAGCGTGGTGGCGCGCACCTCGGGAGACTGAGGTGGGAGTATTGCTTGAGCCTGGGAGATCGAGGCTGCAGTGAGCTCTGATTGCACCACTGCACTCCAGCCTGGGTGACAGAGCAAGACCCTATCTCAACTAAAAAAGGAAAGTTGGAAGAAAACAGGGGGTGGCCGGGCGCAGTGGCTCAAGTCTGTAATCCTAGCACTTTGGGAGGTTGAGGCGAGCAGATCATTTGAAGTCAGGAGTTCGAGACCAGCCTGGCCAACATGGCAAAACTCCATCTCTACTAAAAAATACAAAAATTAGCCAGGGTGGTGGCATGCACTTGTAGTTCCAGCTACTCGGGAGACTGAGCCAGGAGAATCGCTTGGACCCAGGAGGCAGAGGTTGCAGTGGGCCGAGATTATGCCACTGCACTCCAGCCAGGGTGAGAGAGTGAGACTCCTCATAAATAAATAAAAACGGGGAGACTTCATTCAATTTTAAAAAGTAGCTATAAAAGACTTTTTTATCAGTTAGTTATCAGTAGCCATTTATTTCTTCATCTAACACCAAAAATATCCAAAGAAATGAAAACACCTTTGTAGAAGAAAAAAGTATAAAAATTCCTTTAGTCGAGGTTGAAGTGAGCCTTCCTGGTGCCACTGCACTTCAGCCTGGGCAACAGAGCAACATTTTGAGGAAACTCACAGATGGAAAAATTGTCTTTTGTTTAGGGCTGTCAAACTATTTCCTGTAGATCAGCTGACAGACATAGTTCTGTTTCTATTTTTCAAAATATCACCTGATGGCAATGGAAGGGTATAGAAGAAACCACTGTGGCATGAAAATTATTTTGAGGCTGGCACAGTGGCTCACACCTGTAAACCCAGCATTTTGGGAGACCAAGGCAGGCAGATCACCTGAGGTCAGGAGTTTGAAACCAGCCTGGCCAACATGATGAAACCCCGTTGCTACTAAAAATACAAAAATTAGCTGAGCATGGTGGCACATGCCTGTAGTCCCAGCTACTAGGGAGGTTTAGGCAGGAGAATGGCTTGAACTCAGGAGATGAAGGTTGCAGTGAGCCGAGATTTCACCAGTCCACTACAGCCTAGTCAACAGAGCAAGACTCTGTTTCAAAAAAAAAAAAAAAAAAAAAAATTTTTTTGAAATTATTTTAAACTTAAATTATTTTAAGTTCCTGGAATCCCTTATCTGCCTAAAATCAAAGGCTCCCAAAAGAACCCAACTGTCATAAACCTCCTCCCCGGGAATAACTCTAATCTTGTCAGAGATGGGAGAGAGATATTATTACAAAAGTATGATTTCTCCCATGTGTTCTCCTAAGGACATATTTATCTTTACAAAAAGTTGGTTTTCTTTTTCCAAAAAGTGCTTTCTCCCCAGCTTCTAAAAAGTCATTTGTTCTCCTGGAAGTACCCTTCTACTCCTTCCCACCCAGTAAATTTTAGATGATTTATAAACCGTAAATTCTAACTTCTTACTTCATTTTTTTCTTTCTTTCTTTTTTTTGAGACAGAGTCTCACTCTGTGGCCCAGGCTGGAGTTCAATGGCTCAATCTTGGTTCACTGCAACCTCTGCCTCCAAGGGGCTTCAAGCGATTCTCCTGCTTCAGCCTCCTGAATAGCTGGGGCTACAGGGGCGCACCAGTGCACCTAGCTAATTCTGTATTTTTAGGAGAGATGGGGTTTCATCATGTTGGCCAGGCTGATCTCAAACTCCTGACTCCAAGTAATCAGCCCACCTCAGCTTCCCAAAGTGCTGGGATTACAGGCTCATCCTTATATTTTCTAAGAAGACAGAACAACAGGAAAAGTATGGCTTCAAAATCAGAGTTCTGAATTTGTTGTTTTTAGTTATTATTTTATATAATTTTCTTTTAATGAAGTCGAGAGAAGAAAGAGGAACAATTACCTATTTAAAACTATAGTGATGACCATGTGTGGTGTCTCACACCTGTAGTCCCAGCACTTTGGGAGGCTGAGATGGGTAGATCACCTGAAGTCAGGAGTTCGAGACCAGCCTGACCAATATGATGAAACCCCCCCCTACTAAAATTACAAAAATTAGTTGGGCATGGTGGTGTGCACCTGTAGTCCCAGCTACTCAGGAGGCTGAGGCAGGAGAACCACTTGAACCTGGAAGGCAGAGGTTGCAGTGAGCTGAGATCGTGCCACTACATTCCAGCCTGGGTGACAGAGCAAGACTCTGTCTCAAAAAACAAAAAAACTATGGTGATATAGTGATATTAATCTTTTCTTTAGATTCAAGGGGTATGCAGGTTTATTACATGGGTATATTGCATAGGGATGAGAAATGGGCTTCTAGCATACACGTTACTCAAATACTGCAGAGTTCTGAATTTAAATTCTGACTATGCCACTCCCTAGCTTTGTGACCTTGGACAAATTGTTTACTCCAACCGTTCATTTCCTTATCTATAAAATAGGGATAATTTTTATTTTGCAATGTTTTGAGAATCAGAGATAATGCATATAAAACGCTTAGTTGGCCGGGCGTGGTGGCTCAAGCCTGTAATCCAATCACTTTGGAGGCCAAGGCAGGCGGATCACCTGAGGTCAGGTGTTCACCAGCCTGACCAACATGGTGAAACACCATCTTAATAAAAAAAAATAGCCGGGCGCGGTGGCTCACGCCTGTAATCCCAGCACTTTGGGAGGCCGAGGCGGGTGGATCACGAGGTCAAGAGATCGAAACCATCCTGGTCAACATGGTGAAACCCCGTCTCTACTAAAAATACAAAAAATTAGCTGGGCATGGTGGCGCATGCCTGTAATCCCAGCTACTCAGGAGGCTGAGGCAGGAGAATTGCCTGAACCCAGGAGGCGGAGGTTGCGGTGAGCCGAGATCGAGCCATTGCACTCCAGCCTGGGTAACAAGAGCGAAACTCCGTCTCAAAAAAAAAAAAATTAATTAATTAATTAAAAATAATAAATTTTAAAAAATGCTCAGTAAATTACATACGTGGATCTTCATGAAACTGTTGCTATTATTGTGTGCCATTCAATAACTAGCTATTGTTATTTTTTATGAATCGGGCTTCCCTAGTAAAAGAAAACCTAACTTTAAGTAAATAAACATATGAAGTCCTTTCTAAAAATCAGAGGCTGGGCACTGTGGATCACACCTGTAATCCCAGCATTTCAGGAAGCTGAAGCAGGAGGATGGCTTGAGCCTGGGAGTTTGATTGAGAACAGCCTGGGCAACATAGAGAGATCTTGTCTCTACGAAAAATTAAAATACGCCAGTCATTGTGGCTCACGCCTGGAATCCTGGCACTTTGGGAGGTCAAGGAGGGTGGATCACCTGAGGTCAGGAATTCAAGACCAGCCTGGCCAACATGGTGAAACCCCATCTCTGCTAAAAATACAAAAATCAGCTGGGCATGGTGGCATGTACCCGGGAGGCTGAGGCAGGAAAATCGCTGGAACCCGGGAGGTGGAGGTTACAGTGAGCTGAGATCACACCACTGTACTCCAGCCTGGGAGACAGAAAAACTCTGTCTCAAAGTCATAAAATAAAAACAAAAAAGGATGTGATGTAAGAATGAAAACTAATTGGCCGGGCGCGGTGGCTCAAGCCTGTAATCCCAGCACTTTGCGAGGCCGAGGAGGGTGGATCACGAGGTCAAGAGATCGAGACCATCCTGGTCAACATGGTGAAACCCCGTCTCTACTAAAAATACAAAAAATTAGCTGGGCATGGTGGTGCGTGCCTGTAATCCCAGCTACTCAGGAGGCTGAGGCAGGAGAATTGC